GTTTAGGGTTTAGGGTTTATAGCTATTCCTTCGCTCGTCAGCCGTGTGCTTGTGGACGGCTTCGTGCCTAGTTACAGGTCTGGCGGCAACTTGTTTTTAGGTTGAAAGTTCCGACGAGGCTGCCGTCTGTTGCTTAGCATCCATGGTGGTGGTGGATATTGAGCCTTGGCAAGAGTTCGGTTCTTTCCTGCCACAATCGGGATTGCATGGCTGCATAAACGTGTTTATGAAGGTCCTAAGGTTCATAGGGAATGATGAGGTTGCATTCCACCAAGGACTACCGCGAATACTTTCTGCCCGAGACCATTCAAGAACTGCAGCGGGCCTTTGTGCCTCGGATGTTGTCAGGAGATGTAGCGTGCCCATCATACTCTGCAAGTTCAGCCCGTCGTCCACCCAGTGGAGCTGACATCGACAGAAAGAGCAACCGCCGTTAGATCCTGCTCGACCAGCCCAGGACAAGTTTGACACATCCGGGGATGGTGCCATCTCTGTCAAGGAGCTATATCAAATGCACCTCAGGATGAAGCCCAGTGTAGCAGTTGTTTAACGGTCCTAATGCGCAAAGGTTGGAAAAAAGTCAGGCTTACCTTAGCAAGCTCACATCTTGAGAGTGCAAGGTTTCGAAGCCTCGGCAAGAGGGTGAGCCGCCAGCAGCTGAAGCATGTGATAGCAGAGATTGACACCGAAACTTCTCGCAATATATTGGGATAGTATAGGGTTATAGGGTTATATAGGGATAATGGAAAAGAACATGGAAACTACTATTCAGGCTAAATAGTAGTTCCATTTCTTTTCCATTATCCCCATGTAATCCTATATTTAGGGTTCAGTTCTCACTGAATCTTCCAGCTTCCCTTGCATTGCAGAGCTCAACTGTGATTTTGATCATCTTTGCCGCGCTTTGAGAGCCATATGAGCTATAGTCTAAGCTCTTTAAAGGGGTTCTAGAGGGGAGTGGTATATAGAGCCTATTTGGGGTTTAGGGATTAAGGTCTAAACTTCTAGAATGGGGTGATATCAGGGATTATATAGGCGACTGCTATAGGGGATATTCAGCGGGATACTAGGAGTAGACTAGAGCTCACGTTGATTCAGGCGGTAAGAGCGCTGTTCTGTTGTCCGCAACTCAGGATGGCAGCGGGGAGATTGAGTTCGAGGAGCTGTGCATGTTGGAGATCAAGATGAGCGGTGCCCGTCCTCGTGCTGACCTCATTGATGCTGGGCCAACACCAGAGCACCTGCTCTTGAGAACTTTCCACCTTTTGGACTTGTGCCGTGACTTTAGACTTGGTCTTTATTTTCCCTATGTCGTTTTTGCCATGCCCATGACCTCCTGGGGCCGCAGCACACGATCCCATACCTACAGCGACCTAAATCCTGAGATCTGGGCTGCGCGGCTTCCATTTGTTATCTCGGCAGGATCTTGTTAGGCCTCGGCAGGAGCGACAGGGGTGGCGGAGGTTCCAAAGCCTTGCAAAATCTGAGGACTACCGGGAGTTCTTGACAGAGCGTCAGGTGGCCAAGCTGGAGACAGCTTTTCTGAAGCATGACCGCAAGAACGCAGGCCGGCTGTGCGGGTGTTTGTGATTGGTGTTGCTACCTGGACGACCGCAGGTCTTATCGGCCTCGATGCCTTTTGCAGCATTGTGGAGAGTCTGGTACCTCGTCTTTCTTTTCGTTCCTGGGAGTGCTTCAGGACAGATTGTCTATGAAAGCACGCTGGTCTCAGATCAGGCATCTGTGTCTAGATAACCGGTTTGAGTCCAGCAATATGCAAAGTATCAATGTTGCGTAATGTGCCGTGTCCGGCACCTCAGCAAGCTTACATAAAGTAGGCTGGGGAGGGAGAGAAAAATGGGTCGTATGCATGCTTCATGGATTACGGTAAGGGTGCGGTAGACGGGGGCAGTCGACACAGTTTGCCCACGGGTCAATTGTTGCGAGTCTAAAGGGCTGCTCAAATTCAATTGCAGAAGTTGGCCGCCATGCTTGTAACTTTAGTGAATCTTGTCCCAGGCGCCCTGGACCGATCGAACGCCGGCGGAGCAACGTGCCACGCGGGAGGAGCATGCTTGGCATTGTTGTTTGAAGGGGCAGAACACTTTGGGGTGTGCAACTCCAGGAACTTGTCTCAGAAAGTCTTACGCAACCATGAGAGGATTACGAGGATGTGCTGGCGGAGGCGCATGCTGTGGAGGTTGTTGCACTGACGGCTGGACATGTCGTCTACGTACTACCAGAGACTTCACAGCTAGATCCAGTTACTTTCGATAGGTCGATCCTCAGTGTCGTGGCAGCATTGACTTCAACCAGCTTTGCTCGGGATTTGCTGTGCTCACCAAAGCACGTAGCTTGGCGGCAGCAGACTCATATTTTTCCAACGAAGCTTCACTTCTGTAGTGGTGTTTCAATGAAAATGAGTCCGGCTTTTTGTGCTGCAGTCTTGCCGAACCTGGCTGTTGCAAGACTTGTTCTCTCATGTGAGATACAGGGCTCCGCAGGACGACCCAAAATTGAACCTCTAAGGCAAGCTCGTCAACTACAGGGAGCATCTTGCCTGGAAGCCTTGCAATTGATTGGCAGTTGAGCGCCTGATTTTCGAGCCTCGATTTGGCTGTTCTGACTGAAAGACATTCGAGCAGCAGTGGCTGTGCATTGTGCTTTTGCATGGGGCCGCCTGCAAGGTATCTGCAGCAAGATGAGGTGAAGGACCCGGGTGACACTTGGAAGTAGCTCCAGGAGAGTTTCCTAAAAGTCGGGGGCCGACGCCCAGAGACACCCCAACCGTATTTACGGTTTTGAGAAACCCCATATGCCCCAGCGGTGCAGGCAAGCAGATTTCATAATCTGTTTTTTCGCGCTGCGAGGAGTACCGTCGCATCTTTGAGACTACGACGAAGAAAAAGGGCCAAAGTCTTTCAAATGCACAAAGTTACTGGGGGTTAGTAGGGAATAAGGGAATATAATCCCTATATGGGCATCGCCCGAAAACCCCATGTGGCAGTTATTACATAAAACGACCATGGCTGGCTCATAACTCACAGGCAGTACAAGTCATAAAGGCATCTGTTGTTCTGACTTCTGTGTTTCAAGTAATTAGCGTACATGGGTCTGAGATCCCGACAGCTAAGGTGGCCTTTCTAAGTCAGACTTGGACCGAATCTTACGGCGGATGGGTGCTACTTTGACAAAGGCGCTACATCCACCATGTGATTTTGCAAATTATCTCAATTTGTGTGTGAGCATGGGTTGGAGGGACGATTGTACATGCTGCTTTGGGGATGCGGATTTTGGAAGTTTGTCACTGCTGCGGCAGACTCCTTATGCTGGCAACGTCTTGCAGGAAAAGCGCATGTTCACAAAGGCACATCATGAGTTGTCTTGAGAAGCAGCATGCATGCTGCATGAAAGGCACTTGCACGTCGGAGATGGAGATGTGATGATATGTGCAATGGTCGTACCTGGAGGCCCAGCTGCGGGAATTCTTCCAGTACTTTGACACTGACGGCTCCGGTCTGATGGACTTCGAAGAATTCTGCGTGATGCTCTTGAGGCACCGCTTCATGAAGGGGCATGAGCAGAATTCAAGTTAACCCACGGCTCTGAGGCTCTGTGCAATCCTGCTTCTCCAGTTCTAGATAGAAGTGAAATTCCTTTTCCTCCCGCCTCTGGTCTGTATTTTCAGGCACACACAGTAGGCACGCGCTTGCAGCTCGCTTGCCTTCGCCATGCTTCGCCTGCCAGGGTTCGCAACCTGAGCAAAAATCGAATCGTGAGTCCGGAGACTTGCAGTTGCACTGAGCTGTGGCCCCTCGTCAGCACGGGCGGAGGGGGCAATTTCATACAAGCGTATGACTGGGAATCGAGAGTGTGATTTCATAAATGGAGCAGAGCATGAGTTGTGCTCCTGCTTATTTTGCAAAGAAAAGTTCCCCATGCAGCAAAATTTCTGCTCCAGGAAAGAGGAGGAATTCAGCATCGAGGACAGGTTGTGGCCTCGCCCGCCACGGTGAACGAACTCTCAAACGATGCCATGCTCGTTTACTCGCCCTAGATACCATAGAATGAGAGTTGCGCGGAATGTTCAGACATGTCTTTGCGTCATATTTGGCAATAAGGAGATAACTCGACTTTGTAGTCTGTGCTTCAGCCCCGTGTTTCGCAACCATGCATGAGGTGGTCAAGGTTTGGAAAGGTTTTCTGGCAGTGAGACAGCGCGTCCCTCTGCCATGCTATTGCAGCACCAGTCTTGGGACTGTTCTGCTGCTCAGGTTTGTCGTGCGCCCATTCACATCGGAATTTTTCGAAATAATCTATCCAAGAGCTTAAATCAGTGGCGGGATCTCCGAAATCCTCTTGTATCCCTGGATTCCCTGAAGACGACCTCTGATCGAGAAGTTCCCAAACAAAGTTGTTCCAGCGTCTTTGTCAGGAGCTGCAGCAGTCTGGCTTCACTTTAGAGGCCGGGATGGCAAGATGCACAAGCAGGGCCATCAGTGGATCAATGGCGGATAGCCGGATAGCCTCTTGTAATGGGTGCCGTGCTGGAAGAAGTCATCTAGAATGCTGTTCATGGTTGATTTCTCACCAATTTCTCTTGTTGCTTCTAGCCCAAATCCGATTTCCAATCCAACTGGTGATCAGTCTCTTTGTCCTATACAAAGGAGCGCTCGATCTTGCGCATCTGATCTATCTTTGAATTGTACAACCTTGATGCTTGCTTGGAAAATGACTGCGTTCGTGAGAGATTCCTATACAATTCGAGGGCTGATTTTCCTGGTTTGTTGCATGCGCGGTCTAGCCTTGTGGACGGTACAACCAATGCGCTTTTGAGTGCTAGTGTGCAACTGTTGAGCATTCTCGCTTGAAGCCAAAAACTTGTTGTCCTGCGCAAGGATTTCAAAAAGGCCAACATTCCAGTGTCTACCCTCCATAAAGACGGAGGCGTGGTCAGCATGCTGGTGTCTGTCTGATGGGATCCTGGCTGGCACCGCGACGTTGTCAATAAACAGAGGCTTTTCAGCTGAGTAGGCCTCACACACATGAGTTTTATGAGGAAAGGTCCCTGGACGAAACCTTACCTTGACTTTCAGGAGGTGTTGGGGTACCCATTGTAAAAAGCTGCATGGTTTAAAAATACGCAAGCATCCACCACGTTCTTGATTTTGAGCAGGATACTCTGCTTTGGAGCTGCGGCGGGCTGGCTTCTCTGCCAAGGAATTGAAGCAAGGCACAGCCGTTCCATGACTGTGCTTGCAAGCAAAGCTCTTGCTATAAAAGGTTTGTAGATGCTACATGACTGCTACCGAACAATGGACGATTGTCATTGTGAGTCTGCATCTCCCCTTTAGTATCTTCTGCACTTCCAGTAGCTGGAAATTCTTCTTAAGTACCAGAAGCAGTCCGTGCGGCCTAGGCCAGCACAGTATCATGCTTTGCAGCCATTTGGTCCACGCCATCCTGTGAGATTTCACTGGCTTGCTGGGATGGCTGCAGAGCTCCCCCACCGCTATTTGGATGCTCTGGGGATTGAGGTCCCCAATGCGGACTTGTTGATGACAAAGCGAGGGAGAGAGCTTCACCTGGAGCCTCCGCTTGCAATCTTGGTGCAGCAATATCGCCAGGCAAAGCTTCTTCGTGAAGCTACATCACTGGCCATGACGGCTCAAAAGGTGGCGGACAACCGTACAGCTTCAACCTTGACAGAGGACAGATTTGCGAGGGTGGATACATTGGGTTTGAGGAGATCAGCTTGAACTCTGGAGCTAGTGAAACGACAGCAAAATCTCCAATCCAACGTAATCTAGGGCAGTAGAGAGGCAAAACGCCGCTAGTGTCTGCCGCATTTGCAACTTTCGTACTCCAGTCGTAGAGCCATTGCTTGAGCCCAGCAGCTTGTTCCTGCTTTGCTCTGCGAATCATTACCTGTTGGAAGGACCGCAGCCCGAGTAGTGAAACTGGCTGATGCTATTGCGGCTTACGAATGATGGGAGGAGGGGCACTTGGCTTGGTGCGGTGAGGCCAGACGTCACCCAGTACAGTAGCTCTACTTGGTTCTCGTGTGAGCTCATCACGCTGTATGCAAGTGCCTATTTGATAAAGTGCTTGTTCTGAGTTGCCGCCCGGCTGCGGCTTTGTCCTGCGTTGTACCGGCAAAACGGCCGCAGGTTTGTCAGGTCAGTACAGTAGCTCCCAGTGCTAGGGCATTGCTGGAGCATGCTGGCATGAGAACCTGCATCTTCCAAGCTGGAGGATGCTGCGCTGGCAAGGTGGTTGCAAGAAGAATGCAGGAACTTGATGCAGACAGCATTTTATCACACATCAACTCAAAAAGCACAGCCCACAGCCTATGCAGCTCCGCGAAACAGCGCACAATGCGCTGCGTGATACTGCGTGCGCGGCAGCTGCAACAGCCCATTGCAGCATCCTTCAGCTGTTCCTTCAAGGCTTCTACATCCTTGGTCATCTATCTTTTAATGCAAAGTTGGCTTTGCTCGAAAGCTAGAAACGTGCTCGCACCATACGTCTCTCGAGATCAACAAGTGCGTTGCTTTTTCCGACTGGATACGTGCGGGTGCGGCATGCGTGCAATCTGGAGAAGGTATATGCCGTTCCAAGTTGCAGCTGCAGAAGCCACCATGACATAACTCCAGCTCTTACATTCCGAGAAAAGTTGATTGTTAAAGCTGCCATGAAAGAGACCGTCCGGTAGCTGGAGTCTGTCTAAACAATTTCTTATTAGGTGCCTGGTTTATTAAGCACAGCTAGCTTGTTCCCAGACGGGGGCTATCAAGCTCGGCCGGGCATGAGGCACAGACTGGGTTCCAATGTTTCGTTTCTGTTTTTGCCGTGCTGCTAGACAAACTTGCGGGGCTTGGCTTCAAGTGAATCAGCAAGGGTTTATTAAGAAGACCTCGCGCGGAACCCATGGACCTTTTGTGAGCTTTAAGATGGCAGTTGCGGTTCAGCTGTGCGGCATATCATGGCAAAGCAAGAAAAAATCATGCACTCTCAATGTGCGCGTGTTAAAGCCGTACAGCTGTACCCACTGCAGCACATCCAGCATGATTGCAGAAATGCTTTAGCCCGGTTCATGTTGACTGGTATTGCTCCTCAAGCATGCGCTCACTTGTGTTTTATTCTTGGCCATGCCATACAGGGCATGTCTGCGCAATTCACGGGCACTTGTTGGGTTGAGGACCCACATGCCCATTGCACCTAATTAGACACTTGTGGATAGGTGAAAGTTGTATGCTGGCGACTCTCCGAGTCTTGAATACACTTGTGCATCGTGAGCCCATCCAGGATTGTGTTTTACTTGCTATAACCCCAGTTATTATAGTAGTCTCCATTTCCTTGCTACTGAGAGGAACAGCAGCTTCTTTTGAGGGCCAAACTGATCGCCCAACATTTGAGCATGTTGAGCTCACAGCACTTTGGCCATGTGGCTTCAGAGCCAGGTTGATATCCTGACTGGTGCTTGTGGGTTTCCCACATGCTGAAGGATGTTGTGCTTTCTGTACAGGACAGTTGGCTGTCCTTACGGAAAATGTCCCGCGAGCCCATTCTTGTGCAGGACTTTGCACCACCAATTGCTGCCCACTCATCCTGCTGCTTATCTCTGAGACATACCGGATGTTTCTGTTTTGCTGGAAGGTGCTGTGGCTCTCATGGAGCTTCGTCGAGGCTCACAGGAGGATGTCAGAATTTTGCCAGGAAAGTAGAGGGCTGTTCAGGAGCAATGACGCGGTTATGGGTCTAGGGTTTAGGGAATCTTTGCGGACCTAAGCTTAATCGTCCTTGGCTGATGGTTGTTCGACCAGGGCCCCTTGCCATGCGGAACAACTGCATCAGAGTAGAGAGGTCAACAGAAGACAATGGGAGGGCACGTGGGGTATTGTAGAGGATGACAGAGAGGAAGCAGCTTCCGTTCTTTTCCTTTCATAATGGGAAGTAAAGGGTCAACGGAGATTGGACAAGAATTGTCTGTGCTGTCACAGAAGAAACTAACATATCGGTCAAAAGACGAAGCTTGTATCTCAGAAAAGGAAACAGAGACTTCTTCCTTTGGAACGAAAAGGTCAACAATTTTGCACACTTGAGAAAGTGAATGGAAACCACTGCTGTGGGCAAAATGCCCGTATCAGATTGGCAACGAAAATGAAAGCTGGTATATTTACAAAGATGAGACGTTCTATCGATTAAAGCATTAGCCCTCATTCCAGCCTGCTAGCCCCAATTGCCTCCAACGCTCTCACACCTCGAATCCTGTACTACATGGCACTGACTATGATTATCCTTATGCAAAGGAGTGACCGTAACCCCATGAGCAGGTGGCTACAGCCTCATGGACCTGCGCTTGGCAGGCTTTTCAGCCGAAGCGCTTGAAGGCCGACCATCCGCTGGAGATGGTGGGATCGCAGTTTGGATCAAAAGCAGGGCGTGATCTATGACCTGATACGACCTACAAGGCAAAACAGCTTTGAATGTACTGTGATATACTAATATACAATAATATGTTTCAGGATATGATAGTATATTATAAGGTTATATTATGTATTATAATATACTATAGTCCTTACTACAGTCCAGTTCAGCCATGTCTCGAGGCAGTGTAGGACCCTCCCTCAGGCGCTTCAGATGAAAGCTTAGCCATCTGATCTTCCCGAACCCAAAAGCAGGTGCTGCTGCAGAAGTTGGTGAACCCCAAGAGGTTTTAGGGATATTACCAGAACAAAAAGAAGCACATGGAAAAGAACCTTGGACATGAAATGGAAGCTACGATTATAAGTATTACGATTAGTATCCTAATTAGTATCAGTTTTTGTGAGCATGACTAGTAATATCATTAGAGTCATGATTATTACTCACGTTAGTAGCCATGCGATCGTGTGAAGGCGCCAACCGCCAGCTCTTCGGGTCATTCTCTGCTGGCGACCTTTCGGTGCTGCCGCGGATGGCACCCAAGCCAGTAATCTCCAAGGAGCCACGGGGTCAGCAAGCTTTGATTCATTTGAAGCTTTGCACTTCTTGTGAATGCTGCTGTGAGGGCTTTGCGCTGAGCAGCGCGGGCTTTGCCCTGCTGAAGAATGCTCCAGGCGGGGGTCCGGATCCACCTGTTTCCATGCTTAAAAGGCTTTTCCTTGTCCTCCTAAGCTTTGGCAGGCTCCTTTCTGGACAGTGCCGTGCAACGCCCTCTTCAACGGCAGATGACGCCGATGATCCGGGAGCACACGGAAGCCTGTCATACCAACAGCAAAGCATAGAGTCAGACAGATAAAGCTTGGCCTGGTTACCCTAGGTTTGTGTGCGTGTGCGAGCAAAGCAGTTGCAGACAGAAGAAGCCCACTCAGGATTGGAAGTCTCCTTATACGGGCTCGAAGAACCTGCCACTTGGCGTCGGTTAGATGCTTTAGGGAACGGGGTCCACCACTCCTGGCCGTAAAGACTACATGTATTCTGCGAGGCCGGGAGACAGCCTGGACGCGTTTGCAAGCAGCTACCAGAGGCCTCAGCCTTAACCGGCTAGTGGAATATAAAAAACATGAGTAATAATATTCACATTACTACTAATACTAATAATACTAGTAGCAGTATGTTCCTAAAGATGATACTAATAAGGATATTAATAGTCATGCTTATACAAATACTGCTACTAATCATAAGCACCCAAACTATATGGTAGTTTCCCAAAATAAGGCGACCCCAATATAGACCCTAATATACTACAGTCCTTACTATGGGGACCCCTACAATGGTACCCCCCCAATTTCGGGAAACCCCCATATATACCCTCTTATACCTTGGTCTGTGGAAAGCAAACCATCTCGTGAGTTCTGGCTTCCTGTAGGTAATGTAGGATCATATTAGGGTTTAGGGTTTAGGGTTTAGGGTTGAGCATAATATAGGGACTCCATAGGTGTGATATAGGGATGATCTTCCCTTATTCCCTACTACGAACCCGTAAGCTGAGCTGTTGTGTGTTTACCTGAGGTGTCGGCCCAGCGACAGCAATGGATTTCTGCTGGATGCAAAGGGAAAGTTCTTGGGAGGCTGAAAGCCTGGAAAACATATTGGAAGACGAATAGGGATACTGGACAAGAACAAAGAACATGGAAACTACAGGGATCATAGGGTTTATATAGGGGTTATATTGGGGTTTTATTGGGGAATAATGGAAAAGAAAATGGAAACTACTATAGTGGAATAGGGTATATATTGGGATAATGGGAAATAACATGGAACATGCATGAACACACGCAGCATGGAGGCCGAATCCAAATCGGGACTTCTGGAGCGAGGTTTCCATGGTTTCCTACTAGTTGTATCGATGCAGCAACGCCCGCATGGGAGCCCTCCACCGGTAAAAGCATGTAAAAGCCAAATTGGGAGCACGAGTGCTGTGAAAGTTTGTAAACACCTTCAGATTATTTGCGTGACGAGCACGAGCTTGCACGCTGCGATCAGCGTGCAGGTTGCAGTGTTTTTGTGCAAGCCCGCGTCTGGCTGCATTGTCCTTGGCCAAGCCAAAGCAGCCGCGAAAAGCTGCCTCAGAATATTGGCGAACAGAAGTATGTACAACCTCAGCTTCGGCAAGTTCGAAAAGAACTTGTGATAAGGTGGAAATTCGCATAAAGCCTTCTGTGGCAGCCCCGCTTATTCCGTTCACCCAAGCCATGATGTTGCCAGTTGTCAACGAAAGTTGCAGATGTTTTGAATGCGCGTTTACTGCGCACCGGCAGTGCCTCGGTGAAAAATGAGTGGGTCCTAGTGCAAAGCCAAGGAAGCAAGGCCTGCTAGTTGAAGATGTTTGCAATGTATTGCATGTACTGCGCCTTTCACCAGTTAGCATTCTCTGCAAGGCAACATGATGATCGCAGTTGATTTTGCTGCTCAGATGGTTTTCCAACATGGCAGGAAGTGTGGCCGGAAATTTAGGGCGAGAACGGCCTTGTCCATGCAAGTGATATGTGACTGATGACTTATAACGGACAGAACCCCGTGACATGCGCGGGTACGTGAGTTGCCCGGACCATCCGCGATGGTTGAAGTTTGATGTGAATAGTGTCAGAGAGCGGCACATTAGCGACGCGGACATTTTTAGGGACGCCACTTCTGGTTCCTTAGCCTTACCTGTGGTTAGTAGGGAATAAGCGAACATGATTGCCTTTTAGTTCCGCATTCCCTACTCCCCCCCAATAAGTAGCTGCCGTGCCAGGCTCATGTGTCTGTGGTTTTCCTTACGCCTTGCTTGTACTGCTGCGCCCGCCGAAGCTGACACGCTGCAACTTCCACGATGCATAGATCAATTGTGGAGGGTCAAACCGTGTAAAAGAGGTTGCAGATGGTTGAGGCTATTTTTGAAAAATGTGGTTGAATCATAACGGGTACTAGGTCAACAGGTTTGAGACAGATATTCCTTGGGGGAGCATTTGGTAGCCAGCTTTGCAGCTAGATGCGTGCAGGATAGTTTCAGCTAACTTTAGATATCAGTTTTCGCAGCTGGGACCTTGATGTCGGCCGCCGAAGGGACGAACTGCATCAGGTGCCGAAGCCTAGCCGAAGACAGCTGACAGATCGAGAATGAAGCCGTCTTGCACGAAGCACGTTCCTTGTCAGGGCCGCAGAGCTGCCCGCGTCACAGGATGTCGAGAAGGCTCGCCCAGCTGAGATGTACTGACATGGGTGGATCACAGTGGACTCAAGTGTCCAGCACCTGTTCAACAATGCCAGGGATGTCCAGGGACACCCTCTCCCACATCTCCAACGTCAGCCTCCTCGGAGAAGTTCATGCTGCAGGCCGACATTTGGATGCTTCCTTTCAGCTCTTCCTTTCTTGTATATCAGGGCGCTCATGCCATTCCGCCAGAGTGGAGCGAGCGGTTCCTTGGCATGGACTTATCGATTTTCAGCAGGGGCATGTTGTGGAGATGTTGCTTTCCTGAGGCGTCTCTACCGTGTGGAGTTCGCAGCACTTCGCTTCATTCAGAGGCTGGTGACTGCAACACTTTGGCTGACAGCACAGCAAAAAGACTATGGACGAAGAAAACTAAAAAGACGACGAAGACGAAGCAGAAGAAGAGAAGAGCAGGAGGAGGAGGAGGAACATGGAATTGGCGTAGGTTTTTGCTAGTTAGCTGTTTTGGAAGCAGGTTCGGCCTTGGTTTTGAAGCCTATCAGTCCGAGGTTGGCCCAGTAGTTCAGGACACGACATGACAGATCAAGGTCCCTGTGATTTTTGATATTCGGGCTCGCCCCAAGGTTGGCCTACGGTACCATTGTTAGCATGGATGCTAAGATCTTGGTCATCTGGAAGCAAGGGATTTTCAGGGACGTCAAGATCTTGTTCATCCGGACGCAAACTAGGAATTGCTATCAGCTATCATGGACGTTAACATTTTGGCTATACAATGGCCAAGAGTTTATCATGTTTTTTCCAGCAAAAGGTAGTTCTTACGGATGCGTTTCTGCGATCGAATCCTTGACATAGACGCGAAAGAAACATGGATGTAGCAGCAGCATGGATGCTAACATCTTGCGCATCTGCATGCAAAGGAAAGAATGCATGACTATCATGGATGTCGACATCTTGGTCATTTGAATGCAGAATAACTTGCAGACACCTAAGAAGTAATAAGTGTTTATCACGTCTTTTGGCGAGCATATGCTGAACATCCAAGCTCAAATGCGGAAAATGGGCTTTCGCAGAACAGGGTGGTTCAGACCCTGACACCTTGGAAAGAGTAACAGGAAGGCGGGAAACAGAATGTGGACGCTACCGCCACTGCCGCGGCCACCTCCGCTACGCACAACCACCACCACTACCACCTGACTTGCCGCCGGGCCCTGTATCATTTTACCTGGCATCTAGACAGAGCCCGTTTGACGTGGTACTAGATGCGCTTGTAGTTTTGTTGAAGCAATCGGAGTTCACAACCGCTGTCCTTGTGCACACGTTGAGCTTTTGTGCAGAACTTGGGGTTACGATGGTTAATCAAGTCTATAAATGCATCGCGCACAACGCATCCGTGCCTCTTTTCGCTTCCATGTTATGTCAATTTATTAGACTTTGCTGCCAACTTCGGCAACCATATCTAGAGCGTCGTAGAATCTGGCTTCCAGGTCCCCAAAACCATGGCCGGAATACCTTGGAGATGCACCACAACATGGGCGAACAAGAATTCCGACATCAACTAGCGGTCACTAGCGCCACTGCATGCCACTGCCACACCACAACGACCGCCACTTGGGCCACCGCCGCCTACCGCCTCTGCCATCGCCACCGTCATCGCCACCGCGACCACCGTCACCGCCGCCGCTGCCTCGGCCACTGCCTGCACCGCCTCCACCACCACGGCCGCCGCCACCAGAAACAAACCGCTGCCACCAGCACCGCCACCACCGCCGCCGATGGCACATACAGCCCCTACAACTACAGCTACTGCTACTATGACTACGATGCTGAAGATTGACAACCCTTCTGGCACCTTTGCAGATGGTCAAATGGAACTCATGGGAGACTGTTGTGATTGAGCGAGATTGCTTGACTTTCCCACTATCCTGCGTGACTGCGTATCTTTCTGCCATGCGCGTGTAAGAGGTAGAGCCGCTATTGCTTCCATGGCTCATTCATCCCGTGTCAGGAGTATGCCAAAAATTTTAATGACCCTTGGCAGCACTTGGGCTGATGCTGCATCTGATTTGGCAACCTGACTTTCTTTGAGTTCGCGATGTGACATTGGAGCCGAGCTTACATGACAGCGTCACGGGCGAAACATTCATCAGGTTGCCTGTGGCCATGGCCATACACTACACCGCATCAGAGGTGGGAGCGTTCTGTCAGTTGGCGTGCTGCATAGGGTTTGCAGTGCGACATGGGTCGCTGTAGTTCTGTTTCTTCAAGTTGCAAAGCTGGAGCCCCTGCCATATCCCCGCCAATCTCCAGACTGGAATCAAAACTTCGGGTACCTGAGGCCGTTCTGGTGCCGATTGTGGGAGTGCGCCTTGTCGAGATTCAGTGGACTTATGCTGTCTGCTGCCGGGAAGCCCTTTACTCTGAGATACCACGACATTGCGCTTCCAGTTTCAAGATGTTTCAAGCCTTTTGGTTCCTCTGCCTTTCGCTTGTTTTGGAAGCTTTTTGGCCGTACTTCTTGCTGTTGCTTGGGGCTGCGATGGTTTAGTTGCAAATCCTCAGTCTAGCGTGGACGGTCTCCCTTCCGGCCACGGCCTCCGTTGCTAGCTTCGCGTGCTTTTCAGCCCCAGCCTCGGCTTTTGCAGTGTTTCACATATGCACCATTAGCATAAACTCTAAAGCCTAAACCCGTTAGAGCCACTACAGTGCTCCAATAGTACCACCAATAATGGGTTTAGGGATTAGTGATACTACCCCCCAAATTGGAGAGCCACTGCAGGTCTCGCTGAATATGGGCCTGAAGTCGCAAGCTTAGCATGCCGCCTGAGGCCTGAACGGCTGAAGGGCATGTGAGCTACGGTCTAAACTCCTGAAAGGGGTTTATATGTGGGATCATATAGGGGAGTATTATGGGAGTTACTAAGGGGGATACTAGGAGTTTAGACCCCAAACCCTAAACCCTAGACCCTAGGTTATTAAGGGGGATGCTAGGAGTTGAGACTATAGCTCATGTAGCTTCTTCAACCACGTTGCGCGTTAAGGTGTCCGGGCTGTCGAGGTACCGGCTCGGGTTTAGGGTTTAGGGTTTAGGATTCAGGGTTTAGGATTTAGGGTTTAGGGTTTAGGGGTAAGCCTTGGTTTGCAAAAGCCAAGCAGGGAGGTAAAGTATCAGGGATACAGGTACCCATTGGGGTATGAGGGTTAATGGAAGAGAACATGGAAACTATAGGGATTAAAGGGTTTATATAGGGTTTATATTGGGTTTATATGGGGATAATGGAAAAAAGAAAATGGACACTACAATAATGGGTTATATGGGTTTCAGGGTTTCAGGGGTTTCTTCCACAAGCAAGTTGCGAGCCAGCCTCAGGTTGTTGAAGAGGTCTGGAGTGTTGATAGAAAAAGTAGTTGACTTGCTGGCAAACCCATAATTAGGGTTCAGGCATGGGTACAATGGGGGTGGGTACTATTGGGGCTACATAGGGGCTATATAAGGATAATGGAAAAGCAAATGGAAACTACTATTTTGGGTTTAGGGATTTAGGGATAGATGTTTGGGCTACGCTCGCAGCTTCAAGATAGCTGTTGAGGTGGATGTGCCAACGGCCACGTCCGATCTGGCTTGATGATGGAAACGCGTCGGATGTGTGGAACATTGGCAACTCGTCTTCACTTGTTGTTCTGTTTCGTTTTGACGCTACAACTGGAACAGTTCCACTCACCCTCGATCAAGACCCGGGCCTTTTGAAAGGGAGCCACGAAGTTGAAGCAGCTCAGTCCCCACTGTTTGAAAGCCCACCTGGCCCAAGCTGACTGTTCCAGCGACTGCAAAGTCAAAATAATTTTCAAGAAGCATGTAGGCAGGGATGTGAACATCCTACGCTCTCGCCATTCGTGGGACCTTATACTCGCTTTCTCTGGCCATACCACCCTCATGACAAGGTTTTGTTTTGTTGAAGCTTTGCCAGAAACGTCTGTAACATTGAACTCCTACTTTGAAGGTGAAGGATGCTGCAGTTTCCCCTTTCTTTTAGGTTCATGGGTCTCAACTCCCAAGTCTTCAACAGTTATCTTGATTCGTGTAGTTAGCGCGGAAAGAGCCAGGCATGTGCCTGAACCAAGGGCTTTGCACAAAGGTGAAAATGCTAGAAGAGGATTCCATGCTAAACCTACTCAACATGTGTCTGGTTGCTTTTGTAAAGAAGCGCCTCTTCAGGATCAGTTTGGGAGGCAGCTGATGGCTCAGTTGCTTGTGTGGCAGTGCCAGTGGAATTTGGAAGTCAAAGCCTTTGCCTGACCGGCCGGAATCATGAATTGCCAAGTTGACGATGTTGTTGTTGCTTCTTCTCCGCCTCTCCTCCTGCTTTTGCTGCTGCTGGTGCTGCTGTTGCTCCTTCTCCTGCTCGGGCAAGTGCTACCATACTTGTGCTGCTACTGCTGCCACTTTGCTAATGCTGCTGCTGCTGCTGCTGATCCTACAACAACTCATCCTTTTGCGGCTGCTGACAACGACGCCGATCACCGCCACTACCACTGAACCATTATAGTCCCCCTTGAGTAGATACAATACTAGGGTCACATTGGGGATATATATGTATAGGGATAATGGAAAAATGGAAACTACTAGAGTACACCTGGTTTTAAAGGACGTGTTTAGCACTTGTGTCTGCTTCCACGGCAGTGGTTGTTCTTGACTGACTGAGGACTATGCATTTCCAAGCGGACACACCCACATTCTGTCCGGCGCCTCGTCGCATTGTCAAACTGCCCCAGCAGCTTCACGCCCAAGTGGTATACTAACCCATAGGTATCTAATATTACCCCTACATAACCCTCTATAGTAGAGTAGTTTCCATGTTCTCTTCCATTATTGCTATCATTAGTATGATTACTATTATTATTATCGTTCTTATTATTATGGCATCGGCAGTACATGGGAGAGACTAGAACTTGGACACGGGGACGAGGATCGCAGCTATTGGCAAATCCAAGTTGGGCTGCTTTACGGTTTTTAGTTAAGCGCCTGATGAACAAACCAACGTTGGAAGATGTCGCCCATTGCTTTCTCATTTGCAATATAGAAATTGAACGGACAGATGTCTCGACCACGGTGGTATTCTCTGCAAAGTTGTCCTAGTCAGGCGAATTCGGTATTCTCTTGCTTTAGCCCAGAGACCTCTAGCTCGAGAAAACCACATGGAAGTTGTGACTCCCCAGAGCACTCCTTGGTGAGGTATTTTGGTTTGTATCTTCTTTGCCTACGAGCTTCCACCGATGTGGCTCTACGTGATGTATCTGCTGCTAGGCTGCCTTCAGGTATACTGCTTATATCTATTGACTGCGCTGCAGAGTCTCAGCATCATCAGATACCACTTCAGAAGGCATCCGCAGCCGTTGAGTCCAGGAGTGTAATTGGTAATTTCCCAAAATAGGGAGACCCCAATATAGACCCTAAAATACTATGGTCCTTATTATTCAGACCCCCAAAATGGTACCCCTAATTATCGGAAACCCTAAATTGTGAGTTTGTACAAGGCCCTTTTGCTGATGTCTCAAAACAGGGGGTGGTTAGGGACCCTGACTACATAGAGGCTGCAAGAGGATACTTTGAGAAAAGTGCATGTTTTACCAACCTCAATTCATGCGGTTTGGGCGAGGGTTTTCCATCTTGCCTAAACCAAGTGGTTCGGTCATTATTAATGAGGGTCAGTCGGAGTCCCACGAACATGGTCCTTGCGGAGAATACGGGGACGTGTCAGCGCTGCCCGGGCAAGTCCCACAACAAGCCCAAAGGTCTTAGAACCCAAAACTCGCAGCATGCCTGTTTGTGTGCTCTGGCAGGCTTGGTGCGCTAGCTGGGTTCTCCAGGAACTATTTGGGCGTGCATTGGTGTGCCTTGGTAAATTGAGAAGCCTTCTTCAAGCTGCAGGAACCTCTCAGCAACTGCAACTGACAGGCTGCCCGACAAACAAGCATCTCGGTTTTCGCAAGGGGAAAGAGAAACTTTGGTAACTTGAAGACAAAAGCAAGGAAGACGTGCAGGCTACTTGGTTTTGAGGTCCATCTCAACTGACGGCACACCTGAATGGTTGCCTTGATCCACCAAAGACAAGCTGCGATAAGCAAGCAACAACGATCAATCCGTCAAGCCCTGAGTCCATCACAAAGCTTTGGAATTAGCTGCGCTAGAATCTGGAAATGTTTCGCAGCAGATGCATCGAACATCTTCATGTGAGTGAATGAACATCGGCAAGCATGAGGTAGCCATCTGAAATTTTCTTGTAGCAAAGGTAGTGACACGGCATCCGGCTTCCTGCTGGGCTGTGCGAGTGGCACCTTCTGGGGGCTGCTGGATGTGTATGGCTGGCTTCTGCGCTGGAATCTCGGAAACAAGCGCCCCAGAGCCCACTCCCTAAATCTGGTCAAAGATCCAGAAAGGTCGCGGCGACCTCCTGCTGTCCACAAGCGTCGGTTTGGGGGCAGCCAGCCTGGCACCGTTTGCACTTTATGAGCTTCGCTGCTTAAGAGACTGACTAAACTTTGCAGGCTTTGGCATTGACGCTTTTCACAGTGGTGGGGCGAGCTGCTGTCATTGCCTCACTTGCTGCTGGCACAGATCTTGATCAGTCCTGCAGCAATTTGCAGCACGCTTCCGTATTTGCCTGTGAGACCACGCCTGTGCATTCCGAGCTGCGGGCAGAGTGGCTGGAAACAGCAGCGCTGAGCTGAGGAAGGCTCAGAGACTCCTAAGCTCATGGGATACTGTAGATGAAATAGGAGTTTTATAGGGATAATGGAAAAGAACATGGAAAGTACATCTATATAGGGGTTATATAGAGGGTATATAGGGGTTATATAGGGATGATGGAAAAATACATGGAAGCTACTTGTTAGGGTTTAGGGTTTCCCCATAATGCCATAATGAGGCTTAACAAAGGATCATTTGAGCAAACTGCCCAGAAATGGCTTGCAAAGGGTCTCTAAGGACCTAAGCCCTAAACCCTGAACCCTAAATCCTGAACCCTGAACCCGGAACCCTAAACCCTGAACCCTAAACCCTGAACCCTTAACCCTTAACCCTAAACCCTGAACCCTTAATCCTTAACCCTAAACCCTGAA